AGATTTGAGAAGCAGTCGTCAGTAAAATAAAGGGAACTCCGCAAAGTTTAGGCTTATACTGCTGTGATATCGTCGTAAAGATGAATTTTAACCACTGATTCTTCACATGCTCGTCCTTGGGCAGTGAAAAAACTGGCTTTACCTTCACATTGTAGAGCACAGCGTCTTCTCGACATGATGCTGTCCAGTATCCACAGGAATCAGCTGCCGGTTTGAGGTTCAAGTTTTCCCTGGTGTGTGCGCGCGCAATAAGTGGACGTGCAATAAGCTAATGTTTCCTTTTGACGTCACAACGAAACGGCTTATGACTCGTTTGATAAACGATTCATTTCACTGACTCAGAGTCGACTCTTACTTTTGAAAGACAATAACTTTATATACGGTGCACTTTCAGATTTAAAACTTTGCAGGATGTTTTTATTCACTTAGAGCTATGATACACACTACATGAAAGGTCATTTTCAAAAATCCATAATAGGGGCACTTTAAGGGATAAAATGATTGACTACAGGGAGACTTTAAGATATACATACTTCTTTTTGTACCAACCATTAGAGCACACACAGACACATTTGCAACACAGTAAAAACAGTAATACTGTGAAATATTATTACAATTTAAATTAACTGCTTTCTGATGTAACATTTTAAAATGTAAATTATTTGCAAAGCTAATGCTGAGTTTTCAGCATTATTGCTCCAGTCTTCAGTGTCACATGATCCTTCATTCTACTATTCTGATTTGGTGCTCAAAAAAACATTTCTTATTATTAATGTACTTAAATTCACCTTTTCCAGTAAACATCAGTTACACATTCTACATGCTTGTAACAAAAAGCACATACAACATTTAAAAAATGAGATGCGCCACAAGGTGGAGCTAACGCTCTACAAGAAGTAATAAATAAAGGCTCCTGCAGAAAGGACAAATTGTCCCTATTTTTCATCATCAGGTTTGAGAGTTGCACTGGCTGGCCTATAAATCCACAAGCCAGAATCCTGGAATCCTTCACCAAATCTGTTTCAACACTGAAGCTCAGCCCAATCCAATCAGGCAAGGCGATTGCTTTTGATAACAAACACAAATAACCCCTTAAACGGCTTCCTACGATAACATTATAAGCTAATTTACTTGATTGACGGGCTACAGCTTTAGTTTTAATAGAAGGCGGCTCTTTAATTCCCATTCAGTGCTGTGAACATGATTTGCAATAACTTTATACTACATTGCCCACATCCTTATTTAAGATTAACATTTCAATGCAATTTTGAAGCATGACTGCGGAGTGGGACTGGAACCAACGTTTAGGATGAAAAAATAATGGCAATATGATAAATGATGAAAGCAGAAGCTACCCTTTAAAGTGAGAAGAAAAAATGAAGAGGGTGACATTGGCTCAGCAAGGGGTTTTTATCGCCTCTCTCTCTCTCTCTCACTATTCTTTCGCTCTATAGAAATGTGCCAGACCAGCAAAATATGATAGCTAGTTACATATCACATCACACTGAGAGCATCAGTGAGCCTCACGGCACAGACGAACATGAATATTTCCACAAACACTATAAAACTTTTACATTGCCCATAATTCTTCTGTTTGAAATTGAATCAGAAATGCAGTAAAAACAGTAATATAATTACAATTTAAAATATCTGTTTTCCATTTTAATATATTTTTATTATATTTCAGAGTTTGACATTTTTTTTAAAGCTGAATTTTCAGCATCATGACTCCAGTCTTCAGTGTCACATGATCCTTCAGAAATCATCCCAATTTTGGTCTGAAAGAAACATTTCTTATTATTATCAGTGTTGAATACAATTGCGCTGCTTACTATTTTTGTAGAAACCATAATACATAGGTTTTTTTTTCAGGGTTATTTGATCAAAAAGTTTAAAAGAACAGCATTTATTTAAAATAGAAATAAATTTGTAACATTATAAACGTCTTTACTGTCACTTTTGATTAATTTGATGCACCCTTGCTGAGTAAAAGCATTAATTTATTTAATTTCAATGTACTTTATGAAAAGTGTTTTTAAGGAAGATAAAAGAACAGTAAATGCACCGTTAAAAAAAGTTACAAAGACACAATAAATACTGAAACAAAATTGCTTCGACCAGCCCTACAAAAAAGGGTCTTGCCTGGTCTGTTAGCTGGTTTTAGAGAGGTTTTGGACCCTTTTGTTGGTCCCAGACTGACCAGCCAATCCAGCTGGGTTTTGGATTTTTTTTTTTTTTGACCAGCTTGAATTCCCTGATGGTCTTCACTGGTTTTCTGGGTTTCTCCTGACCATTTCCTCTGCTCTTTCTCCTTCTCAAAAATAGACTTTCAGCTACATCGCTCTGCTCTCACTTCACAGAATCCTCCAGTCATCCCCCACCCCCCAACAAGCGTCCCACCATAAATCCCTCATTTATACTGCAGGATGGAGCTTCTTAAAGCGCATCTCGGACTCCCAGACCTTTAATAAACAGGAAGGGAATGAGGATTTATAGCTGCATTGATTTTTAACCCAAGTACAGTTCTGCGGGTTTAACTAAACGTACTGAATCACTGTTTAGTACAGGACGCCACATCAACAACGGTCCACTGCAGGTGCAGGACATCTACAAACACGAGGCTTCAAGAATTCTCATCCGTCAATAGATTTCCAGCGTGTTTATAGGCATGTGATCAATGTATGTTGAAAATAACCCGACATTTTTTCATGTTTGCTCTGCAGTTTGTCTGTCTGAAAAATACAAGTACTTTTTCATAAAACACACTTATTAATTACTCTTATAAACCACATGTGTCAAAACCATAATTTATGAAATTGCTGTGAAATCATATTTGTGCGTTTATGAAAAGTGCTATACAAACAAGCCAAATTGAACTGAACGTGATTTTCTACACACACGACTCAACACACTAACCCACACTGCTGTGAAATGTGGAACTGCATTGCGACTGCTTTCTTCAGCACAAGCACTTAATTACAAACGGGGAGACCGACTGAGAGAGAGAGAGAGAGAGAATGAGGCCAGAAAAAGATGGACAACGCATGCAAAAGGAAGTCAAACACTAGCAATATCACAAAACAGCAGCTACAAAATAAGCAGCTAGAAACCAATCGATCATTGACATAAGTGAGTGAGACGACAGTAAACGGGAAGAACTTCAGCTCGTGTCACTGTCTGTCTGTCACCTTCAGTGCTGCAGGATTGCAGACTGCAGACATGCAACACCGCACCAATGCAAACACACACACACACACACACACACACACACACGTACATGTACTGCCCTCTACAGGTTAAACGGAGACACTGCAGGCTGCTGATAAAATAGACTCGACATCCCACAATCCTCCAAGAAAAAGCCTCTATGTTGAGTGAATTAGCATATTCTTAATGCTAAATTAATCCTAAAAATATTTCAGTGTTGACTCAATGTTAGACGTCATGGCCTCCAACCTTAATTATGAAACATGTATAGATATACAGTGGCAATATACATTACAATATAAAATCAGATACACATACATTTTTAAAAAATTAACCTAGGCCAGTTCCTAACATTTTAGCAATGTTTTAAACTCAAACATTAGTTTTTTTTAATTATACAATAACTTGGATATTTATAAAATCACGTAGAATTTATTTATATGATGGTTTAAAGTGGAAAAAAAAATATGTTTCCTTTACTAAGCTCCGCCCCTTTGGTTATGGTTGCTAACCAAGCATGCTTTACAGAATGTAAAATATGCTTATAAAGTGGTATACATGCTGGGATATCATTATTAAATGGGCTGGAATAAATTGTGACTTTGCAAAGCATTTATCTGCCCTTTTTTTCATATAAAAAAAATACATAGTAACATTCCGAACCCGAATCAAGGCAAATACTTCTCAGAAGAACAAAACAAATTAAAGTGATTACAAGTGTCCTGAAAGATGGTTATGAAAATCATTTGACTGTATTTTTGGATATTTTCAATTGATAGAACTGCGTATACGTTTATCCAAACTCACAGATCCTCCATTGACTTACATTATACAGTGCGTGCATAATTATTACTATTAGTAGTTATTAGGATTGATGTGGTTTGGAATTGGTAAAATGAGCTTGGAAAAAAATATGATCAGAATATCGACTTGCATAATTATGTACGCACGCACTGTAAAAAAGACAAAGCTTGTCTGAGAAAATGGGGGACTGGATTGGTCAGTAACATTTTAAGGCGGGGTTTAGCGAAGGTCCAATTGTAACTGTTCAAGTGAAAAATAGGCTAAATTAAATATAAATACATATACATTTATTTAATATAAATACAAATATAAATTTAAATACAGTGTTATAAAGTGCTTTCTTAAAGATGCTGTAAGTCTCTGGGAGAGGCCCATGCTTTTTTAGCCAATCAAAAACACTCTCTGCCTGTCAAGCAGCGTCTTTGGGGGCGGGGTTTTGTAGAGTTTTAGGTACGTTCATGCCATGTCATAATTACCGTAAAAAATGGTCACATCCTACTAGAACTTGTAATTACAACTTGTAAACTGGGATTTTTCTGAGATTGTACCACCTGACCGCTGCAGATTCAATGTGGCATTTATAGTGTTGCAATAGAAACGCATAATTCCGAGTCATAAAAAATGACCAGCTCTGAATAGAACTGTTCTATCTCATCTCGTAGGTACGGTAATTACGGCATTTCTTGAACGCAGCATTTGTTTTGTAGTGGTGAAGTCAAAGAATAGCAGCATGTGGCTGAAATCGCTTACAGCACCTTTGATTCATTTCAGCAAAGACTACAACAGACAACATCGTCAAAATAACAGATTACCAACAAAACGAAAAACGAGCACGTAATCACACTCAAGACGTGTTCTTTTTGAGTCACACGGACGAGATGAGAGGGGGACAGGGACAAATGGAGCAGTCACAATGGGAGGGTTTCTCATAAACAGCTGAAATCACTTTAAATTGACTTACAGAAGCATAGCTTATGCACAGAGAGTACCTGAGGGAGAGGGCTGTCCCTTCACCACACCATTCTTTGTTCTCTCCTCGAAGTTCATCACCTCTTTATAAATGAGCTCTGAGCCAGAGAGAGACACGGGTGCAGGAAAAAAGAGAGAAAGGATCACATTTAGAGCTAATCGACTCAAAAGCACTTTTGGTTCATTAGAAACCAACAAAAAAACAAAACAAGACAAGGGTACTTGTAGATTATTAACGGCAAATCCATGTGGTAAACTGAAGGTGTCAAGTTGTTTAGATGCGGTACTATTGCTAAGCGTGTTGGAAGTTACATATACCCATTGTTATAAAAATAATCATTTTCATTCATTGAAATAAAGCTGAAAATAAAAAATGAAATAAATATTAGATGAAGATCTTAAGCTTAAAAAAGCTAATTATGTTTCCCTAGAAACTAACTGAAATAAGTTGAAGTACTAAAATTACTAAACGTGTTAAAAAGGACAACTAATTACGTTTACAAAACCTCATAACAAAGTTACTAAAATGAAAGTGAAAACTCACAATATAAAAATAAAAGCTACTTCAAAATATGAATAAATATACTATAATAGTATATAAATAATACTAAACAGACAGTAAAACCTGAAATAACCTACATTGTGGTGATCAGCCATGTCCTACAAAAATGTCATACTAAAATCAAGTTTTATTTCAAATGTAAAAATGCAAAGGTTTATTTGAAGTCTAGTGTTACCATATAAGGATATACACTTTTTTTTTAATACTGGCTCAGTACAAAAACAAGTCAATGGAAAGTGGCCACCATGATAGAAAAACAACATTGTGCGTGAACGATACTGCTGTCAGTCTGTGGGTTCATGAAGGCCTACCTTTCCATTCATCAATGGAGTGTTCCCTCTCATCTAGCTGCTTATCATAGATCTGTGGAGGAGGCTGAGACAGAGAGAGAAAGAGGAACACGTTTAATTATTACCCCAACATAATCATAAACATTGAGTGTCTTCTGAATAAACATGTCTCAAGCTTTATCACTGCTCGTCCTTAATCATGAAGACAATCCTCTAACAGTTAAAAAAGTAATACAATCTCATCAGGCAGTATATGTACTTATATTTAGTGCTTAATAATATAGCACATCTGCTCCTGTAGAGTCACTTATTTGATGTGATGCTTTTCATCTAGCATATATCCTGATCAGAAAACATATGAGGGCCAGATTTGTAATGTTAAAACATCTCCAAGACAGCAACACAGTGTCTGATTAGATCCGGCCCACATCTGGCGCGCGCGTGGAATCCACATGTACCAGGTGTGGCCCGGATCTGGGCCGACACTATGTTGCTGTCTGGGCTGGGTTAATGTTACATTACGGTGTTCATAATATAATATTACACGTGTCTATTAAATTACTTTGTTAGCATAATCATTTTTGTAATTAATATTTGCACAAAAAATAACATGAACACTGTAATGTAAAGTGTCCTCACCATTTGCACATGCAGCTGACATGTTCAACGGTAAGAACTTAGTAAATAAGGACCAAACACCACCATTAGTAGGACAGAAAGTCTGCAGTAAGGTTTAGGATTAAGACAGAGACATGAGAGGCTAGTGAGGAGACTAACTAGACTGCATTTTAGGGCATCATGGACACATTCCAACAATCCAATCAATCCTCAGCCGCATTTTCAGGCATCCACGTGCCATTCATTTCAAATGCCCCAGTGTTGCTGACAAAAATGCAGTCTAGGTAGGCAGCTCACTAGGTTTTGTGACAAGCCAGATAGTTAAAGAAAGATATAAACAGAAAGAGAGCTTGAAAGGATCATTATGGGGAAACAGGGTTACTTAAAGCACAATGCACCTGCATTATTAATTTACAGTATATTAGTTGTTTATTTATTTCACAAGTTAATTTAACGCCTTTAAATATGTCTACATCTACACTAATCCAGATACATTAAAATAAATCTCTGTTTTGACCTTCCGTCCACACTGAGATGGCTCCAAATATCATAATCGGCAATGACCGTTTCTGGGATATTTTGGCTTCATTTTTCTACAGTGGAAGGAATTGGAGACACGTCGTACAATTTTTTAATTTTTGTCTTATATCAGTATTCACTTGCACAGTTTGCTAAAGATACATGTTACTTTGTACAATCTTTATATTACATTCCTGCAAAAATGACAGAAAATGTATGCGCAATTGCTGCTCTGCGACAAAATTTGATAATTTGAGATAATTTGCTAGTAAAATGTTCGCGTCATAACAATAGCGTGATAACTTTATGTCTGGTCTCTCTGTATTATCTCAGTCAGCTTTCATTACGTTTTACACATGCGCAGTAGGATGATTTAAGTTTAAGTTTCAGTGTGGACAAGAAACTTTTGAAAAACACCTGAAAACACTAGTGTGGATGGAGAGCGTTTTTGAAATGAAAACAGAATTTTCAATTGGATCCGGATTAGTGTAGACGTAGCCTAAAAGTGAGTAAGCCAGTTCTATTTGTTCAGTGTGATTGGGAGGCATTTGTTAACTGGTTGACCTGGATGATGTCATATTGTTATACATAATCATAAAAATGAATAATTGTAGGTTTGACATTAACTTTAAAAATTCTATTCTCTAAATGTTATCTGAATGCAGAATTTAAACTCATCTCTTAGCTACATTCTACAAGATTAGTACACAATACAGACACATACAAATACACAGATATTCACACCCTACACACACACTGTGCAAATTTCAAATCTTATTATGTTTTTGAGTTTTAGACATCAAAGTGTGTTACAAAGAGATCGGTGTGTGAGTGATTTGAGATGAGGAGGTTTCCTAAGTGTGGAATGGTCTTTATTTACCATAGATATCTGCTGATTCCTGGCCTTCATCAGAGAAAGAGAAACACCAGAGAGAAGGAGAAAAGAATCACACTAATCATAATGATGCTTCATGGGTTATTAAAACAAATATGTGCTAATGAATGTCAGATTTTCTATCATAGCGTACCATATTAGTATTTCCGTTTCATATTTCGATCAACAGAAAATGTACGTTCACATAAAATGGCAACTGCTAAAAGCTATACACAATAAATGTGAGCTAGTATTGTATTTCATATTTATCTCTGTAGCTTTGTACTTTGTGTTGTGCACTCTCTTAAACAAGAAACCAGAGCCGGTGCGTCATTGAAACCCCTTTGAAACGGTACAGATGCGCACTTTAGACAAGAACAGGCTGTTTGTCAAAAGGGGACGTGTGAATAAAATCAGAGTCAAATGCTTATTGAATGTTTAGAAATCTTCATCAAAGAACAGGACAACCTTGTGGTATTTTTACTCCTTTCCTGTGTCCTCTCAGACTGATGAAGGTCCCCAGAATCAACCGTCAATATTTACCAACTGAACAAATGGAACATGATAAAGTAAAACCTAGCTAGTAATCTAAAACTATTGAGTGAGGATCTATACGATCTGTATATAATATAATATAGTAATATTTTCAGCAAAGCAACTAAATAGATCAATATTACTCATCATATGACAAAATGACATTGTTTTAGCCTGAATACATTTTCCAGCACACAAAAACAATACACATTTAAAATAAATAAATAAAATTAAGTCAGTCAATCGCTACATGCAGGGTTTTTTTAATAAATAAAAATACATGTAAAATCTAATGAATTCGATATTTCAGACTTGGTACAAATGCATGCAATTGTAAAAAAAAAAAAATCATTTTGTTGGTGTAACAATATAGTGAGTTTAATTCATAATATTTTATAAACAATATATAATGTGAATGAATGAGTGAATAATTGAGTAGGTGAGTGAGTGAGTGAGTGAGTGAGTGAGTGAGTGAGTGAGTGAGTGAGTGAGTGAGTGAGTGAGTGAGTGAGTGAGTGAGTGAGTAAATGAACGAGTAAATGAGTAAATGAGTGAGTGAGTAAATGAATGAGTAATTGAGTGAGTGAGTGAGTAAATGAGTGAGTGAGTGAGTGAGTAAATGAATGAGTAAATGAATGAGTGAGTGAGTGAGTGAGTGAGTAAATGAACGAGTAAATGAGTAAATGAGTGAGTGAGTGAGTAAATGAGTGAGTAAATGAGTGAGTGAGTGAGTGAGTGAGTGAGTGAGTGAGTAAATGAATGAGTGAGTGAGTAAATGAATGAGTAAATGAGTGAGTGAGTAAATGAGTGAGTGAGTGAGTAAATGAACGAGTAAATGAGTGAGTGAGTGAGTGAGTGAGTGAGTGAGTGAGTAAATGAACGAGTAAATGAGTAAATGAGTGAGTGAGTGAGTAAATGAGTGAGTGAGTAAATGAGTGAGTGAGTAAATGAGTAAATGAGTGAGTGAGTGAGTAAATGAGTGAGTGAGTGAGTGAGTGAGTGAGTGAGTGAGTGAGTGAGTAAATGAATGAGTAATTGAGTGAGTGAGTGAGTGAGTGAGTAAATGAGTGAGTGAGTAAATGAATGAGTAAATGAATGAGTAAATGAGTGAGTGAGTGAGTGAGTGAGTAAATGAGTGCGTGAGTGAGTAAATGAATGAGTAAGTGAGTGAATGAATTAATGAATGGAGTGAGTAATGAGTAAATGAGTGAGTGAGTGAGTAAATGAATGAGTGAGTGAATGAGTGAATGAATTAATGAATGAATGAGTGAGTAATGAGTAAATGAGTGAGTGAGTAAATGAGTGAGTGAGTAAATGAATGAGTGAGTAAATGAATGAGTAAGTGAGTGAATGAGTGAATGAATGAACGAGTGAGTGAGTAATGAGTAAATGAATAAGTGAGTGAATGAGTAAATGAATGAGTGAGTGAATGTGTAAATGAATGAGTGAGTGAATGAGTAAATGAATGAGTGAGTGAATGAGTAAATGAATGAATGAGTAAATGAATGAGTGAATGAGTAAATGAATGAGTAAGTGAATGAGTGAATTTATTGATTAATGAGTGACTGAATTGAGTGAATTAATGAATTAATTAATGAGTGAGTGAATGAGTGGGTGAGTAAATGAGTCAATGAAATGTATGATCTGAATAAATTCAAGAGTTTTTCTTCCATGTTTAATTTGAAAATCTTTGCGTACAATTTCTTTAGACTGAAAATTCAGACTGAATAGGTCTTGTCTGTGGTGATATATCATATTGATTTGTACATATTTATAGTGTTGTGTGTTGTATAAAAATAAATTGTAGCTTTTTTTCAGTTGTGAGTGATGAAGGATACCATGATTGGTCACAGTGGTCCAACCATGTAGAAAAAAAAAAGGTCAGATGAATCAAAATGCTGAATATGGCCACACGTTAGCACAGAGCTGAGTCTATAAAAGCTGTGTCCAGTGTTTAATGAGCTAGCAGTAGTGTGGAATAAACAGGTGACAGATGGCCCTAGGCGCACTGATCGATAGTGCTGAGAGAATTAGGAGACTGTACTCACTGCCTCCACCTCGGCCGGGTCGTACCACACATTGATGTAGGGGTGCTGGAGGGCCTCGTCCACTGATATCCGCTTAGCGGGATCAATGATCAACATCTTAGACAGCAGGTCTCTGGCCTGACTCGCTGTGAAACACATGACAGCAGAGCGGAGAAATCTTTACATCATTAAAATGAGGGAATTTCACACAAGTGTATCATTTTGATATAGCCAACGTTATTAGAGCAGAGACATTTATTAAGTAAGTAAAGAGAGTTATTGTTGATTTCAGATGTTTAGGAATGCAGTGCAAACATCTCACAAATCAGACACCACAATCTTTATATTTCATCCTCTATTTGTTTGTTCATCCGCAAGGGCACTAAAACATCGCACACTCTTTTCTTGCTCTTCTTTCCTCGCGCTCTCACCTTTCCTTCCCTCTCTTCCTCTTTACCTCTGTACGCTCCCTGATTCCCTCACTTTCTTGCTCTATAAATAGCTGGGTAAAGTCAGACCCTTTCTCTCTCCTCTCACAGCATCATCCCATCTCTCCCTTCTCTCTGCCACCGGCTGGACCACTTCAAAATGGCCGACAGTGATTTCTGCAGATCTGTATGGCTGACTCTCTCTCTCTCTCTGTGATTCGCTCCACACCTCCTCCTTTCCGTCTCAATTTCTCATGTAAATGTGTTTTATTAACATGATTGAAATGTTACATTTATATTGGCTAAGTGTTTGCAGACTATAAAGTCGAACTGAAACGCAATGGAAAACAAATAGTCAAAAAAGTCAAACTGAAAAAGAAAATGAATTATAAATAAATTACACAATACAATGAAATACACTGAGAAAATAAAATAATGTATAAAATGACACTGAAATGCAAACTGAACTCACAAATATACAAAAATGTAATGCACAAAAGGAACCGAATTAAACAAACAACAAAATGATGACAAAATGACATACAGTAAGATAAAATGATACAATAAAATGAAATACACTGACAAAATAAAATTAAAAATATAAAATAAAATGATGACATAAAATAACAAAATAAAATAAAATTACATAAAATAAATAAAATATAAATGAATAAATATAATATCATATCATATCATAAATAAAATATGGTGGTTGCTCACAGCACAGCCCATATTGGATGTCTTTCTTATCTCACACACACAGAGCAGTTCATGGAGCCTCAACTAACAGGCTGATGAGTCGAATTCGGGAGTCATCAAATGTGCAGTGCAATGTTATACAAGGCCTGGAATTAAGTGTGTGTTGAACCCTCGTTCCCATCACACTGACAGACGGAGCCTTTAGCTGCTGTACCTAACACACTCATATCTGTTAGTCTCACACACACACACACACACACCATTTACAGTCTAATCAGCAGTGCCTTACACCCCTCTTTGTTTCCCATACATAGAACATTCATCATCTGACTGTGATGTGACGTCTGTTTACCGGGAATAAACTCAACCACGCAATTTTCATATCAAAAGCTCACGATTCTCCTCTGCTATCCCCTGAAGAACAACAGGAGCTCTGAGAACAATTTATGAAACGTCTCTCAATTTTGCAAATGGGAAGGAAATTGCTGCCTGATTCTTCCAGGCAAACCATTAAAATGACTCACATACAAATGCAAAGAGAGATGAATCAGAGATATCAGCCTTCACCTCAGTTGATTATTTATTTAACTATCCTGGTAGTATTGTTGAGTAAACCTCATTAAAGAATGGCTTTTTAGCGTACTTTACAATAAAACAAATACTTTTCCCCCCACATTAAAGTAAAAGGAATGAGTTTTTTTAAACTAAAGTGTGTTACAGAGAATGGAGGAAATTCTAATTTAAGTTAATCTAATTAAATTGTATTTCTTTTTTTGAATGCCAAATAACATGTTTGCAACTAAATGTGCACAAATTCTCACTGACCTTTGAGTTTGTTGTGCTCCGAGTCTGCGGGGAAGAGGCAATCAGGGAAGAGTTTGGGGAAGGTCAGGCCAGCATATTTTGGCCTGTTCTCCACGTAGTTACGCACCGTCGGCTGCAGTTTCTTCATGAACTCGGGAGAGGGCGTGCCGAGCTGCTCTATAACCTTATTCCATTGGTCGATGTCTGAATGTGGGTGGAGTCATGGAAAAAAAACGCCTACGTACACTCATCACGCCTCAGGTTATGCATTAGAGTATAAAGTATGATATTTCACTTTTAAATATAGTATAAAATGAAGATAACTACATAATGTGGTTATTCTAACGTGATTACACAAGGCAAAACATAAAAGCAAGTGCCGTGAGCCTAAAAATGCCATCGGTAATAAAATAAAGTTTGATTACACTTCCTCTCCAGCATAATAAAAGCTAAATCAGTGAAGGTTAAAACACCCAGAGGGCTCCTATTTAGGCCTTGAGTGTGAAATTTGCAGTACATAAATGGAAAAGAAACCAAGTCAGTAAACACAAGATTAGAGAAATTGATACTGATGATACTTGAATTAAACCAACAACCGAGTCATTACAATTAAGATAATCTCAATTTTTGTTTTTGGAAAATTATTGCCCATTAGGCTCAAACACACACTCCTGACACCATAACATCTGATATTACCTTATATTCCAATATTACTCTATTATAATTATGGATAAGACTCATAAGATGAAACTCTCACTGAAATCTTGTAAGAGCTCGTTCCCAAGGCAAAAACAAGCATAAAGCACAAACAAACAATAAGAAATGCGAATGATACCGTTTCTTTAGTTTCTACTGTAAATAGTTTCAGAGAATTTCATTATCACACGTTCATTAACACAAACTCAATATACAGTTTATATTGAAAATGTATTGCCCTTTATCAATAAAATTAAATCAACAAAAACAGGAATTCATGCAGGGACATTTTTTGTTAATTTCGGTGGTCTTTTTTTACCCTGTTAAAGGTAGGGTAGGCAATTTTTTTTTATAAACACTTTTGCTATACTGGTTTAAACTCTCTTTACATCCTGATAGCAATCAATAATAGAAGTGGTCTAAATATTAAAACATGTACATATATCGTCTGTGGAATTCATGGAACCAAAAAATGTTCGTCCAATCATTGCATTCGGTTCGGTCCTACCTGACTGTCAGCGTACGTATTTCCGTACCTCCGCACACCTACTTGCGCAGACATCACACGTCATCAACGCGTTCACTGAGTAAAAATGTACTCGGAGCTGTTCGGGTCCTCAGACTCGGATTTATGTGTTTCTAAGTCAACACTATCAACGCCTAAATGAATCTGCAGCAGTCAGGTGGTACAACTAAGAGCTCTTTAAGTTGTTTACATTCATTATTATTGGGATCTTATGCTTTCAAAGCTAGCTTGCTAGTGCTAGCCTATCCAAAATTGCCCACCCTACCTTTAATTTCTGACCTCAATCTACACTCACCTAAAGAATTATTAGGAACACCATACTAATACTGTGTTTGACCCCATTTCGCCCTCAGAACTGCCTTAATTCTACGTGGCATTGATTCAACAAGGTGCTGAAAGCATTCTTTAGAAATGTTGGCCCATATTGATAGGATAGCATCTTGCAGTTGATGGAGATTTGTGGGATGCACATCCAGGGCACGAAGATCCCGTTCCACCACATCCCAAAGATGCTCTATTGGGTTGAGATCTGGTGACTGTGGGGGCCATTTTAGTACAGTGAACTCATTGTCATGTTCAAGAAACCAATTTGAAATGATTCGAGCTTTGTGACATGGTGCATTATCCTGCTGGAAGTAGCCATCAGAGGATGGGTACATGGTGGCCATAAAGGGATGGACATGGTCAGAAACAATGCTCAGGTAGGCCGTGGCATTTAAACGATGCCCAATTGGCAAAAGGGGCCTAAAGTGTGCCAAGAAAACATCCCCACACCATTACACCACCACCACCAGCCTGCACAGTGGTAACAAGGCATGATGGATCCATGTTCTCATTCTGTTTACACCAAATTCTGACTCTACCATCTGAATGTCTCAACAGAAATCGAGACTCATCAGACCAGGCAACATTTTTCCAGTCTTCAACTGTCCAATTTTGGTGAGCTCTTGCAAATTGTAGCCTCTTTTTCCTATTTGTAGTGGAGATGAGTGGTACCCAGTGGGGTCTTCTGCTGTTGTAGCCCATCCGCCTCAAGGTTGTGCTTGTTGTGGCTTCACAAATGCTTTGCTGCATACCTCGGTTGTAACGAGTGGTTATTTCAGTCAAAGTTGCTCTTCTATCAGCTTGAATCAGTCGGCCAATTCTCCTCTGACCTCTAGCATCAACAAGGCATTTTCGCCCACAGGACTGCCGCATACTGGATGTTTTTCCCTTTTCACACCATTCTTTGTAAACCCTAGAAATGGTTGTGTGTGAAAATCCCAGTAACTGAGCAGATTGTGAAATACTCAGACCGACCCGTCTGGCACCAACAACCATGCCACACTCAAAATTGCTTAAATCACCTTTCTTTCCCATTCTGACATTCAGTTTGGAGTTCAGGAGATTGTCTTGACCAGGACCACACCCCTAAATGCATTGAAGCAACTACCATGTGATTGGTTAATTAGATAATTGCATTAATGAGAAATTGAACAGGTGTTCCTAATAATCCTTTAGGTGAGTGTATAATAACATGCTGAGTCTATGTTATCACATAATGGCCAATCAGTTCCAATCAGTTCCCTGGCCTAATATTATGAGCGATAAATGAACAAATTAATGAATACATACATTTAAATATAACAAATATTTTATTAAATTATTGAATTTTTATTTACATCACCAAAAGTTTTTAGTGTTTTTGAAAACAGTCTCTTATGCTCAATAAGGCTCCATTTATTTAATCAAAAAACAGTAAAAATATTCTGAAATTGTAGCATTGTAATTGTTCTCAGTTTAATATATTTTAAAATATAACGTATTCCTGTGATGAACAAAGCTGAATTTTCAGCATCATTACTCCAGTCTTCAGTGTCACATGATCCTTCAGAAAACATTCTAATAATTTTTAATGTTTTTAAAAAGTAGTCTCTTCTGCATTAGAGGGCAGCATAAGAAGAGACTACTTTTTAAAAACATTAAAAATTATTAGAATGTTTTCTGAAGGATCATGTGACACTGAAGACTGGAGTAATGATGCTGAAATTGTAGCATTGTAATTGTTCTCAATTTAATATATTTTAAAATATAATGTATTCATACAATGCTACAATTTCAGCATCATTACTCCAGTCTTCAGTGTCACATGATCCTTCAGAAAACATTCTAATAATTTTTACTGTATTTTTGGATCAAATAAATGCAGCCTTGGAGAGCAGAAGAGACTACTTTTTAAAAACATTAAAAATGTAATGTACCGGTATACAAAAACTGAACGTTATCGACCAGTTCAAACACGTCTTACTTAATAAATCTGAACAGAACTCTTGTTACAAAATGACATTTCTCTCAGCAATCTCTTCATTGGTGTCATTATCACAGAGGTGTAGTGGTGGGAATTTAGGGCAGAGAGAGAGACTGCTGGAATTCAACGGTCTTGATTATTGGCGTTTAAGTGAATGGTTTACAGCATATAGGTCTGAGCTGGCCCGAGTGAATGGATCCTGAAGACGTTAAGAGCCGTCTGTATGGGTGCCTAGCAACAGAGGGGGGAACTGGATGTTGTCATGGTAGCCCAGTTAGCCTTGGGGAGTCACATGACTGTTTTTGCTCCCCAGGCTTCCCATGATTCCCACAAAGGGGGGTCCTGGTTCAAAGGGCCAGGGCAGCTAGGACCACATTACATCATCCAACGGGAACAACCACTCCCTCCCCCCCACCCCCCAAAACACAAAGCCAGACCCGTATCTCTCTACCCTTATCTTGCAATCACACATTTAAGGAAGCCAAACAAACAATAACGGCTGCCTGGCGGCTTTTTTTTCTCCAAATTGCTTCCAAAGTCAGGTTAAATGGTGAGTCTAATAAAAGACTGGTTTGTTTCTCACAAATTCCTGTGTTATAGGAGTTTTCTAGAATTTTCCAATATTATCTACTAATATATATGTATATATATATTTATTTGGCAAGTTATATGAAAGAAGACAGCAGTGAGGAGTGGAGAACAGACAGAAGGGAAGGATACGATCTGTCCCTGGAAACAGCACTGTTCCTCTTATAACTTCCCCAAAGATACAGCCTACAGACCACATGTCCACTACACCACACACATACACATACGCAACATACTATCAGACACTCAACATAACACAGAAAATGATATGCATACTATATATGTTCATATAATAACTCTTTTCTAAAACTTGATTTAGAATACTACATAAGAAACACAGATGCTTGACTGAATTGATTCCAATTGAGTGTATTGCTATAGGATAACTCTTTGGATTCATGCTTTCACAAGGCTGGGTGCAATGCATTCTGGAATAGCCTATTTGGTGATAAATGAATTCAAACCTGCCGTTGAATTTTGCCGAAAGAAGGTGTTTTACAAGGCATTTTAATTATGCTATCCGCATTTTTGAAAAGTCTTTCACCTATAATGCTTTGAAATGCTTTAAACAGATTTATAAAGAGTACTGATAGAGAATAGTAAATGTGACGATATTTAAACGATCATCCAACAAAATCTTTCTTCACTTATGAACTCACTCAGGTTCAGTAAGATAATGCAATCTTTCATATTCATGCATTAAATATTCAAATTTATTATTAAACGAGGAGATTAGAGACGTCTATGTTAAGAATCTAAAAGAGGTTAAAAGAATTTGATACAGGAAAAGAATCAAGGGCATATTTTTTTCCAAAGATGTGAAGATGAAGATAAGGCGCAAAGTTAAAGGGGTCCTATTATGCTTTTCTATATTTTTGAACTTTCTATAGAGTGTAATGGTGCGGTTGAAGCATGAAAAAGGTCTGCAAAGTTACAAAGCACAAAGTTCTCTACAAAGAGAAAACACTGCTCCCTGAAACACCTCCATTGTAGTCTCGAGTTTTCCTCCAAGAATGAACACATTATAATATTCCTCATTTAAATGATACCCGCATAAGGCATACGCAAAAAAAGGGTCAAGGCCTGGTTGAGTTGAGTTAGTGTGTTGAAACTCGCGTTTATAAGGGGCGGGACATAAGACACGCTCGAAACTGTTGACCAATCACAACACTGGTCCAGCTGGCCAATCAGAGCACATTACACTTTTCGGAAGGAGGGGCTTTATAGAGACAGGAACTAAACAGAGGTGCGTTTCCCAAAAGCATCGTTAGCCAACTATGGTCTCAAGCTCCGTTGAATTGTGTTGGTAACGATGGAACTTGCGACCAGATTTGGCATCGGGAAACACACCCCAGAGAGTGTTACTGACAGACAGTAAAGAGAGGTGATGCTATAATGTAAAATATGTGAAAAATAATGTTGTTGTTTTTTCCATTTAAGCATAAAAACCTATTTTAGTAGACCCTCAAAACAAAATCAAGAAAAACAGCATAATAGATCCCCATTAAATTCAACCAAAATGAAAATGTTAGATACTGCTTTACACATGGTTTCACAGACAAGGCTTAAGCTAGTCCCAGACTAAAATGCATGTTTGAGCTGTTTTAACTGAAAGCAACTTGCACTGTCATATCTTAAAATATGTCGGTGCCATTGTTTTGTCTCAAGATGCACACCAGTAATGTTTTTTCTAAGGCACATTTATAAAAGCTACTTTGAACTAAGGCCTAATCCTGGCTTAATCTAATCCCTGTCTGTGAAACCAGGCCTTAGTGTTTCAGGCTTTGGTAAAGTAGACCCTGTAGATGTTGACTATGGTAAGAGGTATCGATGAGACAGCACAGCAAAGAAGTTCATTCAGGCATGTGTTAATGAGTTTTTAAAAAGACCCAAATAAGCTGAGCTTGGTCTATGGGATCGATACCTTAATTGCCGTTTGGAGAGCAGAAAACAAGCACTGTTCTCCTGCAACTCAACTATAACTACAATTTAACTCTCCAGGATTCATAGCAGCAGAAAGAGAAATCACTAAATAAATGAATAGTTCGCCCTAATGAGTGACTGAAGAGGAAGACTGTATCATTATTTCACTAGTCTCTCTAATCGCCAATTAAGCAAGAATCTCTATCCATTAAGGGACGAATAACTAGCGGAGAGGAGAGATGCCAGGCCTCCACATCCAACAATGATCCCACAACACCCTAATGAACAAAATCTTCAATATGCATCCAGGATTTAAGGGATTGGGAGGTACAAGTGTCACAAAGCGAGAAAAAGAGATTTAAACAGCATTTGGATATTTAAGCTGCACCTAAAATAAGAAAACCTGAGCAAAACCTGCAGGTTAGGAGAACTACAGCCTTAGTCGATTAGTTATGCCTGAACAGATGAACACTGGCCCAGTCAGGTCGAGTCTCATGTGGACCACAATATGTTTATGTTATATTAAGATCAATACAGAAATATTGTGCTTGATAAAACTGATGTTTTCACCAATAATTCCTTATTGGCTAGACAAATCAAGCCAGTTTGGACCTATTCATGAAGGATACAATCCCTGCCGGGGAATAGGATTTTGTGGCGCACCATTTCTCCCATGATGCAACCAACTGACCAAATATCCACTGCAGGCACACAGAAGCAGGAAAGAGAGCAAAGGAAAGAAAAAGATAGGTTAGCGTTAGCAAAAACAGTCATCAGTGATGGAGAGAGAAAGACCTACGTGAGCTGGATCACTCTCGCTAATTATATCCGCCACACATGTAATTAGACAAACGATTATTCAACAACTGCTCAGATCAAAGTTGGAGTTGGGGACAGACCTGAGGGAGGACCGTTTGTGGCAGGAAATCCATAGCCTGACCTCTCTCTCTTTCTCTCAAACTCTAAATATACACACTAATATTTGAGTCTTTAGTGTATTAATGAGTTTTCAAGCAGTGGGGAATCTGTTAGTATTTCAGTAAATTAACAGAAGGTTAGCAAGTAACTAAACTAAATGAAATCTCAAACTTAAAAATCTACAGTAACATTTATTTTTGTTATTAACTGTGCTGCTCGTTTTAACACATACTTTGCAGTGTCAACAATACATAAATATCGTCATTGAACACAAAGTCTTTCTTTGCTGTGTTCCTGTATTTCCTACTGAAACAGAAAGTCTACCTGGGAAGTTCGTGTTTATGAGTTTGGAAGTCGTAATTACGACGTCAGGTGCGTTTAAGTTGCTTTGGTCGGAGCAAGATGGCGATGTACCTCCTCTACAAAAATTCAGCAAGATTTCTAAACTCAACAGTACTTCTACAAAATCTTGAATAAAGAATGTTCATCACTTTGTTTTTGCTTCATGTTTTTATTAAATTTATTAAGGTGCTATGAATTGAATCATTAAATATTCTATCATAATTGAACAATCCTATAATTGAACAACCATATTTACTTTGAAAATTGAAACTCTCTTAAATACGCAATGTAGTGAGGTCATGTGACCACAATATAGCATACTGCTTGCACCGTTTGCATAAAACATTGCTTCACACACTTACTAAAATACTAAAATGTTTTGCAGACATGGACTAAAAGACACACTCCAATCCTACAAAACCCAAGATTCAAGTGTTATTTGAAAGTGTTGCAGCAGGCCTGTGATTGGTTTACCGTTCTCCTTGTAGCCCATGCCCAGGATGACCTCTGGGGCCCTGTAGTACCGTGTCACCACGTAGGGCGTCATCATAAAGCTAGTGCCGGCGGTTCTCGCCAACCCAAAGTCCAAGATCTTCAGCGTACAGTCGGATTTCACCACAATATTGCTAGGTTTCAGATCCTTAAAGAGGAATATGTGTCATGGTGAGTTGATGACAAGATTTGTTGTTAGAAGTTTAGATTTGATTGATTATTTAAATGGATCCTTCCAACCAGGAATGAATTTTGGTTCAATAAATTCATAAATTATCGCTCCTGAGGTGTGTATACATGTCTCTCACCCTGTGAATGATGCCGGCTGAGTGCAGGTGTTTGATTCCACACAACATCTGGTACAGCAGGTAGGACATCCTCTCGTGGTCCAGTTCCATCTGAATCACCTGGCAAAGGTTTGCGTCCATCAGCTCCATGACCAGGTAACTGGAGAAGCCAGAATAAGTCAGGGAGAAAATGTGAATTTCACAGGCCGGACACCAGTAACAGTGACTGCCGCATTGATTCTGTCATGTTTCATTGGCATGGCTTCATTCCTGCCTTCTTAATGTACAAAAGAGACTTTTGTGGATCGATGTGGATCTTTATGACTTCTTATGCAGAGAAAATAATTGTTGGTTGATGACAGTCAGCATGTCGGTGAATGAAAAAACCAACAGTCAACTGTATTCTGCTGAGTGCTCAAAAGCCATGGCTGCACATTTATGGATTAAACATCACAATTGTAGTTTATTAAGTTCCAAAACAGAGAGTTGACCTTCAATTAATCATGTGAAGGTGCACTATATATTTATATATATACACTATATATTTTTTTTAATTATCATTATTTATTAATATTTTATTTGTATATCATTTTAATTACTTATATTTTTACAGATATGTATAACTGTTATTATGTTTTATTATATAATTATTTTAAATATAATTATTCTCAATACTAAAATGTGTAAAAAGAAATAATTATTATAACACTATTTTTGTGTGGTACATTTATTTGTATTATTATTTATATTACTATAAATATACTCAATACTACTAAAAAGTACAAAATTATTACATTATTTAAAATCTCACTATTTTAGTGTGGTACATTTGTGTGTATATACATATATACTGTACACATACACACATACATAATTTAAATATTGTAACTTTTTTTCTTTTTTTGCTGGCCACAATCTAAGCAAATCCTCTGAAGCTAGTTTGTTGATTTATAATAATTTAGTCAGCATCAATTCCTGCCCCATTCCATCCTAACACTCAAATCACCCGGCTTTGACGTTTCATACTCAACATATTGATCCTGCTCTAGATTAGTCCACACAGCGTCGAGACTCGAGACTCAAGCATCGGGACCAACCAGAGAGCGAGAGCATGAGCGACTGCAGGTGATAGATCATAGATCACCCTCACTCTGCTACATCACAGCAGTTATACTGGGACCCTGCATGAGCTCCAACACCACGGGCCATGCTGTAACTCACCTGAAATATCATAAATCACCCTGGCCAACTATACTTGGTTTTTCAGCAAATGTTTACACAAGTATTGCATACTATGCATGAAAAACATCTTAATTATTAATAATGTTTATTCAAATGCAAACACTTTTAACAATAAATGTCCCCTTCCCTTTCTGATTATATATTTCTTTCCATAGGAAAAGCAGTTTAGTTAAAAAAAAAGGCTTCAACGTGGCTTATCCAGTCAGATTTTAGAGCCGGAACTATTAGTTTCATGATTGTTGTTCAAACACTAGCTGCAAACGGTTTATACCCAGACTTTGAATGAACTAATTGAATAATTTATGATATTTACAGTGGAACTGAATCAACACTGAACTAACTTCAGCTGAACAATGACACCTTGTGTTCTTTTAGAGCTGCTGTACAGCCGAAATGACCTGTTTGCTTCATTAAATCATAACCCTGTTATCACTGTAAAGCTGCTTTAAAACAATCTTGTATAAAGCGCTATATAAATAAAGGTGGGAAAAAATCCCCAAACATTACTTACACATCTTGGAATTCCTCCAAAGACTTCTGTGGTGTGAAGACATTTAATAAGCTGATGATCTGGAGGAGAAAAGAAGAGAAGAACTTTAGTAAAGCATGAAATTATACAATGATACACCATTGGATTAATTATTAAAGGAATAGTTCAACAAATGTTCTTTTAAGTCTTCTTGAGTCCTATAATTGTATGACAATTTAAAAATATATATATAAATCAATTTCTAAAAAATATTATATATATATATATATAATATATATATATATATATTATTTTTTAGATACTGATTTATATATATTTTTTTAAATTGTCATTTAACGTTATTTATTTATGTTCCACAGGATATAATGTAACACAAAGGTGAGTAACCAAATGCTCCATTGGATTAATTATTAAAGGAATAGTTCACAAAAAAAATGTAAATACAGTACATAGTCCTATAATTGTATGTCCATTTAATTTTTTTTTTTTAAATACATTTTTTTTTTAAAATGTGTTCCACAGGCTAATAACAGCACACAGGTTTCGAATGACACAAAGGTGAGTAAATAATGGCAGTCATTTCTCTGTGAACTATTGCCCAGTTATTTTTCTCGAAAAAAGGGCTGAGAGATTCATAAGAGGACCGTTCAACAGTCAATAAAAGCTGAGGGTGATAGAAAAAGCACATTTGTATTTCTGTCACGTCCCAGCTGTCCTTTATAAAACGAGTCTCAGAAAGAGAGACGACGAGAGAGAGAGAGAGAGAGAGAAAGAGAGGGGGGATGACAGGAGATCTGGCAGCAGCATTGTGAAGTGAACTCTTTAGTTGCCAAAAAAGTGTTTCATCTGTCTCTTAACACTATCACTCCCTTTCTCTCTTACTTTGTTATTCATTATCCAATGGTTCGTGTGCTGTACGTGTGTTATGTACAGTAATATTAAATATGGCGGCCAGTAGGCACAATATTCCTGCCTTCCAGTTTAACAAACAAATCATCTTTTTAATTTCTCTATAACATGCATGCGCATGAACTAGGCCTGAACAAATGGGTCAATCCAATGGGACAACGGGTGATATTGAGCTCTGGCACTCACGTTTTTGTGATTGACACATTTCATAAGCACCAGCTCCCTGTATGCTCGCTTGGCGTGAGTCTGGTTCTGAAAGGGTCTGCTGAGTTTCTTAATGGCCACATTTCTGTCCAGGACGGCGTCATATCCAGCACTGCCAGAGAAAGAGAGAGAGAAACCAATATTAACCTATGGGAAACAATAGGTGCGTCCCAAGTTGCGTACTTCTGCACTATTCTATGATGTTTTGTAGTATAAATACTGTGAGTAGTGTGTGTTCACAATGAAAATTCGAAATAAAAAAAAGTACACTTAATATACCCAGATGATGCACTTAATCAACCGCAAAAACGAACTTGAGTAAATTGATTTGTGAATAAAGTAAATTGAACTAATGAGTTATCGAAAAGAATGGAATTCATTTAAATGTTTTTAAAAGATTCAGAATGGAATTTAACACAATTCCCCATCTAACCATTGGCCTAAAAGCAATATTAAAGATGCAAAGTGCTTTTTAATTTGCAGCTAATTTCAATTCTAAAATTATGAAGGGTATAAAATGCAACTAGTTTTGTACTTTCACATTTAAGTTTTGGTTCTGTGTAAATGAAATGGTCAGCACACGTCTTGTTTTCGGTTTAGTTAGATGTAATGCCAATCACAATTCAGTATGCAAATAAATGCGAGAATGAAGACCAATCACAAATCAGTGAGCAAATATTACAATGACATCGTCAGAGTCTGTTCTATTTTAAATGTACAGCACACTGAACATTTTATTTATGTGAGTTAACCCTTAAATGCATGAATGTTTCGCCAATCATTATTACATATTCGGGTCTTTAGTGACCCGGATCTACATTAACAGAGACGGCTCAAGTCCAAAGCACTGCAGAAAACCAGGTGGCCTATGGCTCATTGTGAAATAACACATTATTGTTCTTTAATAAGTGAAGGCTGATATTAATTGTATTTAAGAAGTTAAACCTAAAATAAAATTAAATGAGTCACAATTCAATTTCCTGAATGAAACAGTATCTTCATTTAACAAGTATACCTGGAGGCACTAAATTATATAATAAATTAGTAACGAAAACAGCATTAATAAAACAGTGCGTGCCCATCTCAGTTGTTTCCTGTCTTTCACTCTGAGAATATTTATATTGGTCAAAAATTGCATTAAAACTGTCACGATAAAAACTGTCATGATGAAATTGAGGGCTGAAACCTTATATATATATATATATGTTTAATGCAGCAGGAGAGCTGTTGTTAAAAAGCACTATATTATTTATGACTAGACCAGGTAGAGGGAGTGCTAGCAGAAGCCATCATGTTCTGAAAGCTACTGAGGTTTATGACTTAATGCTTCATCCCACAAGGCTGCACTGGGAAAAGCTGCTCTTTAACCATGTTGACATGCGCTGCTAAAGCTTAAAGCGCCATTGTTAAAAAAAAAAAAAAAACATCGAACAGGACCAGGAAATGCAGCAGTGATTGAAAAATGATTTCCTCCTGTGGCCACAGACAAGTTGAAAAGTTGAAAGTATGCCATGTTCTGTGGTCAAAACTGACCTTCACTGTTTTAATGCCCAATAAAACCTATTAAAAAGCCTTGTGGGTGAATAAAATGTGTGATGTGGACTTGGACTTTTTTAAACCTCCACTATAATTCAAAAGTCAAAACTGCATGTTTTTTCTGAATAACAGTGTGAATTGGAGAACGCACAGGCCCATAAGGATCTTTGATTCACCTATGGATTATTTGAGTGGACAGTTAGAGCTGTGGGGTTTGTTTACAGCAGATGGTCAAAGCAGAAGGGGGTGAGGTACATCGAAACAGGAGAAATCCTACAGTACACACATAGCCTACATACACATCAGGGTTATAGTTAACTAAAACTAAAACCATAAAAAAAAAACATTTCATTACTTGAAATTAAATTAAAAATCAAAATTGAAAGAATTAACGTAATATTCCACAATATTCACTTTATATTCAAGGGCACAAAAAACTTGATCGCTACAGCCATAATAAAAATAAAAATGTATTTAAAATATTAATAAACACTACAATAATATCTCTGATACACACAATGAAAGAAAATCTACAGAATGAGCTAAATCAAAGTAAAATCACAAAAGGAATTGATGTAAATATTGACCAAAAAAAACCTGTTACATTATTATTATGTTATTTTAGTCCACTAAACAATGTTTAGAAAACAAAACCATATGAATTTAGGAGGCAAGATATTCTCTGAGCGACAGCAGGAAAGTTTCTAAAGCACTTTTTTTGGAAACCGAGGACTGATGTGTCCATGGTAACGGCAGTTTCCGAGAATTTTTTATTTATTTTTTTGGCTAATGGCACCCATAGATACCCATTTGTGTCAAAGATGATGTCATGGCTGTCTCTAGGTGGTTAATGCATTGCAGTTTTGCTCTTCGCGGGCCCTGCCTACAGGCAGCTGTCACAAACCAGACACCATTTTAACTACTTGAACACCACATTTTATTCTACAGCATAAGAAACAGTTGACACAAATAGAAAGACCTGACATATAAACACTACATCATATCACACTAGTAAAATCTAAAGGAATAGTATTCTGTCATAATTTACTCACATTCACATGTATAGTATTATATTCTTTCTTCTAAGCAATACATATTATTTTATGTTTTGTCAAAACTGAGTGTCAAAACTGCTATGCAACGAAAATGATAACTGGTCATTCATATTGATACAACTCAAGTCCACATGACTTGTCCTCAATACCATATGATAGATTTGTATGAAAAATCGATTGAAATTGAAATTATTTCCTGAGGATGAGTAAATGATGACAGAATTGTATTCCTCTATAAAAGTCCCCCTGCAGTCAATAATTGTATCCCTTAAAACTCATCTTTGATAATCAAAAAGACATATTAACTTTTTTTTCAAAGTGAAAATAATGTCTTCATGCCTCAATATAGCTTGAATGTAACTCTACGACCTTGCTTCATTTATATACACAGATCCATGAATATGCAAATTAGCCCCGCCTCCACTCACTCACACCAGCTCGGACTTCCTGATCCACTCGCTCAACTGTAGTAAATGCTACACAATGACAAGTAGAAAATTGGTTTAATTCAGCCATATATGTTTGAACCAGAAACTGATTCAGAAGAAGAAGAGGAAGAGTGAATAATGCAGACTCGTCTACAAGTCGATGTATCAGAATGGTACAGTGTTTAAAGTATCGCTCTTTACAATGTCAGACACAAAACGGTCATTTATTTGATTAGACTGTAATAAAGTGTTGCTATTGTTACAAAAACCACGTTCCCGTTCTCCATCATAGTCAGACAGCTGCCTTCTAAAAATCAGCATCCTTAGAAACGCTTTGAACATCACAGCACGTCAGTGGAGAAACACATGTACAGTAGTTCATCACCATAAGCCCCGCCCTAAACATTGACGGGATTGGTTATGTTTGTGACGGCAGGAAACGGGCTGAATAGGAGTCTTTAGAACTTTCCAGCATTTTTGAAACACTGAGAATCATCTTTTATTAATTAAATACATTAAAGACCATATTTAATCACTATAATCAAAGCACAAAACATCTCACGCCCCAAACCCAACACTGAAGACCTCTGTGTGGAGAAGAAGTGGAAAAGATGACTAAGTCACTGACAGCCACAGTGGAGTTTCGTGACAGCCTGGTGAAATTAAACACAGTCTAGAGTAATTAACTTGACAGTAAGTTCATCACAGTGTTCAGGCCCTCTGCCAGCTGCTCAAGACTTCAGCTCAGAACTGTCCTAGCAACTTGTTTGTGCTCTCATTATTTTTCTTTCATAAATGACGGTCTTTGTGCCTGAGATTAATCTTGTCATATATGCAAGACATGTAAATAAAGGAATTTTTTATATGAGAGGGTGTATAATTATCAGAAATGAGTACTACGGTAGTGCTCATTGCATACTACGATTAATCATAGACTGTAAAAAAGTATGGACGTATTGTCCGTGACATCACCCGTAGCTTCTGAAGAGCATTTTTGAAACCCAGAGTGGGCGGAGCCGGCCGTCGCCCTCATGGCAGTCATTCCCGGATACCGAAAATAGGCAAAGAGGCGGGGATTAGCTGAGGTGACGCGACTGCTAACAGACAGTAGACAAACGCTAGTAGTGACAGCAGAGCAATCCACCTGTCACTCAAGTGGCCACGCCCTTAATTATGCAGAACTTTAACGCTTAATAATATTATTTAAATGGATGAAGTTGTAAAAAAATTCAGCCCCCTCACAGTTGTCATGAAGGGCAAAATCAGCTATTTAGACCAAAACCACTTTTTTTTGTACCAGGCTGTAAAAATAAAATAAAATCTGCTGTAAAGTTGGGCATGTTAACATAAGGGACTTGACTCTCTTTTGGAACATGTCTCTAGCGGCCAGTCGATTAATTGCAGTTTAAGTCACTTCCGTGTTGGATTCAAGAGAGAGACAGGAAGGTTGCCGCTTGGTATTAATACATAGCATGTAATCTACTGTTCAAAAATTTGGAGTCTGTATGATTTTTAAAATTCTATTATGCTCACCAAGGCCGCATTTGTTTGATAAAAAAATACAGTGTAAAATTGTAAACATTATTACAATTGAAAATGACAGTTTTTATTTTAATATATTTTAAAATGTAATTTATTCCTGTGATTGCAAGGCTGAATTGTCTCCAGTCTTCAGTGTCACATGATCCTTCAGAAAACATTCTAATATGCTGATTTGCGTCTCAAAGAAACATTATGATTAGTATCAATGTTGAAAACAGTTGTGCTGCTTAATAATAGCTGCTTTTGTGCTGCTTAATAGTTTTGTAAAAAAAAAAAAAAGAGAGAGAGATCCAGCATTCTTTGAAAGTTCAAAAGAACAACATTTATTTGATCTAGAAATCTTTGTGACATTATAAATGTCTTACTGACCCCAGACTTTTGGGTGGTACATGCATAAAAGAATAGTATGCAATATGCAACAATATAGTAAATGTTCAAAAATGGTAGTATGCTCTCTAATGCCAATATCCCAACGGCTCTGTGACAGATTACATGTACAATAGCGAGGACTAAAGCTACCAGCGAAACACAAAAATGTGGAAATAACATATTGCTTTCTTCCAATATTTGGGCCCAAAAGTCCCCATAGAGTCTGACAGCATCTTTTTGATTCTTGAGAAATTGCCTTTGTATTGCATAATGGATGATATAATTCAAAACAGAGTGTGATATGCTGCATTCTTTCATAATGCTGTTGAGAGTGTTGTTTGTTTTTCTAGATGCATGTACATTTACTTTCTTGGCACACACCTTTTTACCCAAAATGCAATATTGGAGAGAGTCCTGCCAGGCATAGAATCTCATTTTCTGTTAGCGTACACAGTCAGGAAATTGGCGTGTGTGTGTGATATGATAAATTATTAGCGACCAAACCTTTAGCAGCAGCAGCACGATGCCAGATGCTCATAGCTCTGTTACTCTGAGGAAAGCAGCACTGCGTCATCTAAATATTCAGCATGTACTGTAGCTTTCCAACATGGACTGTGAATGATTTGATGGATTCGTTTAATAACTCCACAAACCCAGCTAGCAAAACTATGCCATGAAAACGTTGTAACCTAACCAACATACTTAATATTCTGATAAATGTTTGGTTTGTTTATAGAAAAGAAAAACATATTAAATACTGTGAAATATTGTTACAATTTAAAATAACTGTTTTCTATTTTTATACATTTTCTAATGTAATTTATTCCTGTTGTGAATTGTCAGCATCATTACTCCAGTCTTCAGTGTCACATGATCCTTCAGAAATCATTCTAATATGCTGATTTGCTGCTCAGTTATTGTGAACAAACACTGTTTTCATCATTGATAATAAGCAGCAGATCAGCATATTAAAACAAAAAATCAGCCTTGTCATCACATGAATACTGTAAATTACATTTTGAAATATATCAAAAATAGAAACAGTTATTTTAAATAGTAATGATATTTCATAATATTACTGGGGGTTATTTGTATTTTTGAACAAATAAATGAAGCCTTGGCGAACAGAAGAGACTTTCTAAAACATGAACAAATCCTAATTATTCCAAACTTTCGAAATTTTGCAAACGCTATCAAAACCTGGTACTACATTTGTCAATAATAGAAAAGTAATTATATTCAAATTGTCACACACACAAAAAAACACGTTGTAAATAAAGCAAAGATTAGGCTATTGGAGTACGGTTTACAAGAAAATACGATTTGTCTTTATACTTCAAAATGTCATGTTTAATTCAATGTGTTACTTGCCGATTCTTTGTAATCATTTGTGAAATTTACCAGCAATTTCTAAGCAAAAGATCTTGCACTGACAATTGAAATGATATGAATCATCCCAATCTACTTACAGTAATTGTATGTAAACTGGCTGTCGTGGTCAATTGCCCGATTTTTGCGCAGATTTGCCATTCAAATAGGTCAACTGAAACTTAGTTTGTAAGTATAAACAAAACGGCAAACTAACTTCTAAGGGACCGGTCGGTATTTATGGAAAGGGCCACCGGAGGAAAATAGGGGAGGGTCATGTCTTTTTATTCTTTGTTGAGGGGAGGGTCATCCAACTTTTTTTAGTCTAGGGGGAGGGTCACCCAACTTTTGTATTCATGAAAACAGCTAAATTTCAAAGTGGCTTGTTTGGTGCACATTTTTTTCCATGTAGCTCCATGTAGCTCTCTCGGTCTCGGCCCCCCATCGCTATCAGATGGGTCTGACCCAACAAAAATCCAGTTTGGCCCTGTTTGACAGTGCGCGCGCGCTTCAGTACGCGCTCAGAGAAAAGTGCATTAGAACAGAACGCCAATGAAATGTTTACCCGGCAAAGCTTTAAAGCACGAGCAAATAATGCAAATTTAACTTTTGTGATTGCGAATAAGTGCAGTGTCCTGTGAGTGTAACTCTACCGCTGCATTAACATGTGATGTGAATGAACGTCGAGTTTTACAGTATTGGGACTGAGGCGCCAGAACTGCAGCTGATATAATGTGCGCTGTAGTACGATACTACCATATTTTAGTTTCCAATATTGAGTTTCCACTAGTGATGCGCGGGCCGACTCGTAACCCGGAATTACAAAAGTAATTGTCACTTTATTTGCGGCTCGGGTTGGGGCGGGTCATTATTATTGTTGTTTTTAATCCATGTAAGTTGCTTGCAATTTCCAGCCTTTATTAAATATTTGGGAATATCTATTTTCGTATTTTATTAGGTTATTTGATAAGGTTACAATACGAATGCCGTAGCAACTTAACTTGCGTGAGGTCCATAAACCTTTGGCGTCACGAAAGCGGCGCGCCAAGCAGCTCCCGCCGCTAGCCACGACAACAACAGAGAAATAAAAGTGAAGATGGAAGACGAGGTGCGGGAGAAATTGAGGTCGGGAATTTACCTGATTACATTGAAACGAAAAATAAGGTTAGGCTGCTAAATCTAATGTTTGGGAGCTGTTCTCAGAAATAGACAGCAGGAGACAAGTAGCTAGATCGGCTACCTGAAGTGCAACTCGTGTGAAAAATATACAAACAGTAGCGCCACAAAACGGGCACTTCCGGCATGTCAAGACATATTTGTGGGGGGTCTGAGAAATAAAAAATGGTTTAGCCTATTAGATGAATACAAACGCTGCTTTGTAAATGTTGAAATGTTTATTATTAATATGACCTGATTTATGATTCATATTCATAAATTAATCGTCTCTTGTTGCCAGTTTACAGGGCGATGTTTCCAAGCACTTTCAGGCTGAAATAAAGGCTGTTTTCATTTACATTACAATGCCTAGTAGTATGTCTATTTAACGGTCGCGGGTTGTAAAAATAGATACAGTGGTGCGGTGCGGGCTGGGGCGGGCCAAATAATTTCATAAAAGCGGGACCCGCGGGTTGGAAAAAAAGCCGACCCGCGCATCACTAGTTTCCACAACAATGTTAGTGAGTAAATCTACTGAAATTGCCACCATAACAGTGGAGTGTGATGTGTTGGACGTAGGGCTACCACATTTTTAAATTACTATTAGTATTATTTGAAGTTAACATAATAAAATATGTAGACCTACACCAAAAAAACTAGTTGAGGATAAATTCTTTAAAATTGGGCAATTCCAGCGTTATGGACGTGACATTTGCGGTCAAAACTTGAAATATAAATTCTCAGAAAATGCATTTAATACTGAAACGTCTGTTTATGTATTATATATTCATACTCCCTTAATAAAGGAGTCCAGACATTAGAAAAATATCAGTCTACACATTTTATACACGTTTTATATTTAATATGAGGATACACATGTGATGTGACACAAAAAATCTTTAACTTTTAGGTGGCAAAATATTTTTTAGTAATTCTATCACTGCTCTCTGCTTATGTGATCCGTATGAAATGTGCATTCCTCTCTGGCGCGTTCAATACTGCGAAGATCGCGAGTCAGCATCTTCAGTCACCTTTATATTTGCAGCCGACACTGACAAAGACTTGTTTATTAATAAACAATTAAAATGTCTCCTTGCTATATTTGACATATTCATAATCATTACTTTTGCTGGTTCTTTGTGGCAGCTTTAAGATACTTTATTGGCAGCGCCACCCTTACATTTTACATGAATGCGTCACCCCTGCATCAGCAGCACCGAAAACATGATTTTTTTTTTCCAAATAAAAAATCAGGAGTTTAGTCATTTGTCATGGTTGTAAAAAAAAAACAATGGCTATCTGAACATCTTTGCCAAGCGCAAACCAGTACAGAAGTAATCAATAAATTATCGGGGAGGGTCATGCCTTTTTTCACAATCATTTAGGAGGGTCATAGAAAAAATTATTGCTGGCGAAGGGAGGGTCAAGTCTTTTTTGACTACAGATCTCAAATCTCCTCTGGTGGCCCCTTAAATAAAAAACGACCAGTCCCTAAGCTTTTAACATTTTGAAAACATTGTACAGCAATGTAACCTAACCACAACCAGTTTCATCAGGGTCTGTGGAAGACATGTGACTTTGCACAATCCTTTTAAACTGTCCTTCTTTTGCCTCTCTCTCTCTCTCTCTCTCTCTCTCTCTCTCTCTCTCTCTCTCTCTCTCTCTCTCTCTCTCTCTCTCTCTCTCTCTCTCTCTCTCTCTCTCTCTCTCTCTCTCTCTCTCTCTCTCTCTCTCTCTCTCTCTCTCTCTCTCTCTCTCCGGAGAATGATGTGGCGTTTGTTAGGCTAATGCCGCTGCCATGCTACATCATGTGACTGCTGCTGAGGAGAGGAAGTTAAATTAGATCAGGGTTGTCCATCCAGCAGGCACGATTACTGCAGCCAGCAAACCAGCCAGAACACATCAACAATGCCATTAACAGTCCAGTCCTGCCTCTCTGCCTTCTCCACAACAAACGCACCGCAGCCACTGAAACTCAGATGCAAGGAAAGAGGAATGGGGGAGGGAAAAAGCCACCCTCATCGAGATTACCCACAGTCCACACATTAGCCACGACTCAAAAATCATAAGGTTTGGGATTTTGGGAAGCGCAATAAACGGATATGTTCTTTTCTGAAACTCGGATCTAAATTAGCCGATGTCTACTGGGAACGTCTCGGTTTCGAATGTAACCCTCGGTCCCTGAAGGAGGGAACAGAGACGTCATGTCGGAATGGGACCGACTGAAAGGGAACTGCAATTCATCACACACCCTGCCAAGAAAACCCCCAAATATCGCTCTTAAAATTCAAGAGAATCATTATGACATCCATAAGGACATATTTTTCACGATAAAAACACGAAGAGATGCACCATGGGTACTCACCACACTATTCCCTGAGCCCCAGAACCAATGGGCTTTAGATTTTGGTACCGTTTGAGAACCGTGAAGGTGGAATCTCCTACTTCCACGCTGTAGAACTGGTTGTCCACTTTGCTTTTGCTCATGTTGTAATGCTGGGCAATGTAAGAAACATCAACTTGTTTGCCAAACCCCTGCGTGGAGAAAAAGATGGATGTATGAGCAGAGAACATCATATAACATGTGTTTAGACAGTTGATAAGCAGCTCCAAAGCACTTGTAGGCTATTATTATTATAAGTCATAAAAACCAGTGCAAATGATTCTATGATTCACCTCAATAATGATATAAAGAGGTATGGATAAACTGTTTGTATTCTCTTCATCAGCACAGGATATGATGAGATGAGAAGATGAGTTTGCTTAAATGATTTGCAGACAAATACATAATTGCTATGTGTAGACCTTGATATTTAGGTCAAACCACCACACACTAAGCAACTAAATTAAAATAATTAAATGAAATGAGGTGTCACAAATGAGTGAAGAAAAATATTACAACAACAATTTGAGAAGAGGCCACAGCAAGACCCTATATCTACAAGCCACACAAAAAAAATGAATATCAAACATGGAAAGCCAACAAATACTGCTAGTAATTGTCTTATTTTGAGATACAAAGTAACATTTTAAACATATGTGATGAATTAAGTCACTATTTCTCACTATTGTCATTTTATATGTTCAAAATGTGGCTTGTCTCATAGCTTAGTTTTCATAACTTAATGGCAATATTATCAAAACATTCAGAAAACGTATTTTTGTAAGCTGGGTAAGGGCATAACATCTAAACATTTCAGTTTCGCTACTAGAGAGAGTATCTTATCTGTGCTTGGCTAAAGATTTCAGATATCACACTATATTAAATCAAACTATCAAGGTTATCAAGGGTCTCTCTGTTCTGGAGTTCATGCCAACGACGGCACAAGGGCCAACTGTGTAATCGATTGTACTAACTGTCACATAGTGAATATATTTCGGGAATACCAAGGGAGGAAGCTGTCCACATAATTTCACAAGCTAAAATGGTAATAAGTGTGTGTGTGTGTGTGTGTGAGAGAGAGAGAGAGAGAGAGCAATATGTATACGGTATATGGGTGTGTGAGCGTCTACGTGCTTCATAAAGTCTATCTTCATCATGGGAGTATCCCCTCACTGCAGTGCCCCCCTATTAAACTGACTGGGCTAATTTGAAGCTAATGAGCTAAGATTTGCGGTAATTGCTGTCTTTTATTGAAACAAGGAATAGAGCACATAGAATGGTTTGGTTTTAATATTGTGGTGAAATTATTTCTGTTCCAAAACCTAGTGAGCAGCCTAGTTGACATTTTAAGGCAAAAAGCATAAATATTCATAACAATAACAATAATAATTTGTTACATTTATATAGGGCTTTCCTCGGCACTCAAAGCGCTTTACACATGGAAGGTGGAATCTCCTCAACCAGCACCAATGTGCAGCGTCCATACTGCGCCAGAAGGCCCACCACACACCAGCTTATTGTGATGTGATACATGGAAAGTAAATTCGAAAATCGATGGGCAAATTTGCAAATGGGCAAATTTGGCCAGAATGCCGGGGTTACACCCCTACCGTAACCCCGGCATCCTTGCCAAATTTGCCCATCGATTTTCGAATTTACGCAAATCAAGTGAGTGATACTTTTAAGGTCGGAAAATATGGAAAACTGTGTAAATATGGAAAAATCACATCCCTGATGAAAACATATATAACAATTCCTTTCGAATTGGGGTTTTTAATGACCACAGAGAGTCAGAACCTCGGTTTAACGTCTCATCCGAAGGACGAGTAGCATACCGAAATATTGGGTAAAATAATACATTTTTAACATTTAATGAATATATAAAACCCACGTGGCCGCCCAAAGATGAGATGGATGGACCGGATCAAGCAAGATATGAAGGACGTGCAAGTCGCCCCGGAGGACACTACGAACCAGAATAAATGGAGAGCAGCCTGCCAAAAAGCGGACCCTGCACCTGCGCGGGACAAACGCTAGGACGAAGAAGAATGAATATATAAATCAGGCATGTGATTTATATATTTATATATTCAATTATTATTATTAAAAATGTATTTTAAATGCAATATTTAATAATAATAATACTATATTACATTATAATACAAAATGTTATAATAAAAGTATTCATAGAATTATTATTATTATAAACAATAATAATTATTATCATTATTATTTTACATTTATTTTATTTTACAGTAAAACAGTAAAATTACAATATTTTAAAATAAAATTACATTTATGGTTGCATTTATTTATTTGCTTTCAAACGTTAAACCTTTGAGCTTTTATTTTGGCGGAAAACTGCAGGAACCTTAACGCCGGGTTCCCACCGGACGCTGAAGCGGCGCGGAACGGAGGCCGCTTCCTTTCGGCGCCCATGTTAACCTATGGTGTCGTTCACACCAGACGCGGAGCGCCAGTTTCGGCGTCTGGTCTAATTTTTTCGCGAGCCGCGAAACACTCGACCATCCGGTCAATTGTCAAAATATAAGCAATTTTCAAATTAAAATACCCTATAATACCCTATAATCAAAAGATATAGGGCAGGGGCTCTCCTCCTGTCTACTCGCACTGGGAAACAGGAAGAGGAAAATAGATTTAATAAATTTGAAGAGAGGATGTATATTTCAACGGTATATATACACTACTATAACTGTCTACCATATTCTCTCTCTGGCTGCGTGTGTGTCTCGACAACGGATTAATAAAAGTGTATTCATATTATGAGGTTATTTACTTCCCCATGATGTAAAAAAATAGCTCTGAATGAACAACAACTGAGCAGAAGCGCTTGTCGACCACCGCGAAGAATACGCGTCTGGTGTGAACAGGCAGGCGCCGGACCGCGCGTGATTTTTCATTCCGCGTCGCTTCAGCGTCCGGTGTGAACCCGGCGTAACGCTCCTCTTTGTTGACAATAAAAGATTTATAAACGATCTTCATTACCAATTTAGGAAGATGGATGGCGCACTTTGCGTTCCCAAAAGTAAATTATAATTGACTGAAATACACAGCACTTGCAGAGTAGCATTTTCTGTGAATCGCAACTGAAAATGAACACAGTGCTGTGCTTTACTCTGAAACATGCAGTGCGTCAGACTATATATTTATATAATTACGTCACAACAGTTGCAATCTGATGATCGCACTAAGCCATATCACATTCTCACAATCATGGATTGTCAAAATTTTTACTTGAATTTGGCGCTTTGAACCCTGGCTAACATGCAATAAAGGGTGTCCCGCATATGGCGCCGCGAACTCGCACAGCGCTGTCAGAAGCAATCAGTCCATGAAGAGAGCTGATACATGCAGAGCTGATACACTTTTAGGGATATGAAACACACTTGGTTCAGGAGTCAGTTGCCATTCAGTCATTTAGCGGACACATTTATTTAAAGTGACCCACAGAACACTTCCTACAGTGACAGTCCCTGTGGAGGACACAGAGGTTAAGTGTCTTGCTCAAGGGCACAGTGTTGATTCATGGATCAATCCTTCTGGGATTTGAACCTACAACCTCTTGGTTAACAGAATCTTTATCCACTAGTCAACTCTGCCTACTGCCCTCTTGACCTGGGATCTGTATGTCACACTGAAAGTCATTGACAGGTGATGAAGATCATTTAAGGCCCAAACTAAAAGGACAAGAACCCCAAGGAACATATGCGGTGGCTTATTGAATGTTTTGCTGTGCTACTGTGATTACTGTACTCTGGGAATACTGTACTTCATATCTATATCAAGCAGAGGGAAGTATCATTATTAACAGGAAATAATACAGTATATGTAATCTGATATTGAATCATTGTGTTTCCACTGTGTTATTTGAGAAAGTTTGTCACAATATAGCAGTTACAATACAAATCAGGTCAACAAAATATTTAGTTTCTTGACTCAAGTCAGTCAATCTAGAGCCCTAAAATTAAGGAAGATATATCTGTAAATTGAATTTAAAAGGATTGTTCACTCAGAAAGTTAAAATTATGTCACCATTTACTCGCCCTCAACCTATTTGTGTTGATGGGGTGCAAAAAAAACGACGACTTATTTTTGTGCTCCATAGAAGACAGATAGACATATGGGTTTAGAACAACTCGAAGTTTGAATAAATGATGGCAGAATTTTCATTTTTGGCTAAACTATCCACGTGGAAAAGCATTTGCAACCCATTATAATTTAGAGTGAAACAATATTGTGATGAAAAAAAAGTCCTATGGGTTTGTAACAACACATGATTCAGTAAATGATTCAGAATTTCTTTTTCCCCATAAGTGCTTTTAATTTGAACGATATATCTGTATGACTGCATTGATTTTAGAACACACTTCCATGCATATTTAAAGTGTATTAAGATGCTCTTAATGCATTTTGGGAAACCCGACTCAGAATGGCTTGGAATGCTGCGAGGAACTGATCCTGTGTAAGCTATACATCTTCCTTAAGGACCCAGACATGCTGTCACCAGTATTTATTTTAGGCAATGACACATCCATAAGAATGACGGGCAGAATGGAAGTGAATGAATACTCTACCTTTTAATTTACCTGTATGGAACACACACCTGACAAAAGGCAATCTTCACATCCAGGACAGGAGCACTGCAGTTATATAAGAAACGTCTGTTCATAAATACCTGGAACACAGCAACACAACAAGAAGGAAAAGATCAAAACAGGATAAATGGAAGGAATCTTCCCTCTCTAAACTGATATTGAGGTGGTAAGATTGTCTTCAAATGTCCTCATTTCTCAAGATGTTTTTTATGTTGCTGCAAATATTGATATGTGCTAAGAGAGAGAGAGCTGTGACGATAAACAACACTTTTTTCTTTTTCTCACATCTACCATCTTGATTCTGTCTCAAAGCCCCTGCCCTGGATATAACGTCTCTCGGCACACTGAGGATCTGTGCATTAGCTGTGCGTATGTGTCTGAGGATACAGGCTTTCCAAGAATAGTCAGTGTCATCCAGGAGTCAAAGACTATGATAATTTGGTTTGATTATATTTCTTCCGTCTGCTCTGCTCTGTTTCCCGTTACATTTTTTTTTTCTCCCCCAAGGGACGAGAAGGAGCTTTTGGTAAGCGTTGTGCACCCTGCCTTTCAAAGATACCAAAGCCCTGTGGATAAACGTTAAATATTCATTAGTGTTTTCCAGACTTCATCTCAGTAACAAAAGGATCAATCCATATAGATGCATATGTGGGTCATTTTAACATTATGAGATACTATTTTGATTATTACTGATTTAACTTGGTGTGCAATATTGTTATAAATATATAAAATCAATATTTATATATTATTACCAATAATAAATAAAAATTTGTATCACAGATTATTAAACCGGCCATCAATACGTCCTTTTAAGCTATTTTAAAGGCAGGGTAGGCGATTTGTTCCTGAAACATTTTTTTTGAATTGTATTTATTTATGTTTATGTATATTCAATACATAAAAATCACAATACTGCTGTTTTTACTGTATTTTTATGGAAATAAAAGCAGCCTTAGTGAGCATGAAAAAATCTCATCAACCCCAATGTACATAGGCTAAAATCAAGTCTTATTCTTTTTTGTAAATATTGTACCTGCCATTAAAATAATAGAATATAAGGCATAATATCTAAAATACCATAAATGGTTGTGCCTTCGACACATATTATTTATAGATGATGGTTAGGATGTGTCAGTGATGTCCATGCTGGTTTTGAGTGGCAGCTTACAGCTGTGTGGGTAAATGGGATGAGAATGTGTGTTTGTCAAATGACTGACATTAGCACTGCTTTCATTTCCTTTTCACAGCGGCTGCTAAACCTGCACTGATGCTCTGAGACAAAGAGCATGATGGGATATGCTGCAGCTCCATGATGATAACCTTAATATCATTGATTCAAATGAGTCAATATGATGGAAAAAGGGAGACCTCTTAGAGAGAGAGATCTTAACTCCTTGTTCATTAATTTGCGGGTGCTGCTCCTTAATTACTATTTTCCTTCATTATTTGCTGTCTGGAGGTGGTCCAATAACAGTGCATATGTGTAAACTCCTGATCAATACAGAAAGCTTCATAAACACAAGCATCCAGCATTAAATGAGTGATTATTTTGCTGCTGTACTGCTGTACTTTGCGCAGCTGAAACTGTCTGATTCACCTTACACAGATTCAATAATGAAAGACTTTTTTTTTGCCACTTTTAATCGAAGGAAGCAACATGCTTTTTTATATATTTCAATACCTCCTTAAAGTAAAAACATTTCATATATTGATGTAGCACTCACGAATCATGAATCTCACAATTATCGAATCATGTCCTCATTAGTTTAGTATCTGTTCCTTTCAGAGGTGGACAGTAACGAAGTACATTTACTTGCGGATTATTTATTTTACTTTAACTTCACTACATTTGTTGAAAGACAAATATCGTACTTTTTTACTCCACTGCAAGGTCTTTGAGTAGAAAGTAGTTACCGTATGTTAGTCAGGGCTTGATTTTCTTCCGTCTCTAAAACATGATTGGATTTTTGCGGGTGACAGACAGCCTCTTGTAGGGTCACGTGTCGTGAAGTTAGGCGATTTGTACGATTTCTCTCTACTAATGATCTGTGAGAGACAGTATCGTTGTCACAACTAACGGTTTGAAAGTTTTGTTTCCATGGCAAATAATTATTTCTGTACTATTGCTGTTGGGCAGTTATACAGTTATGGTTGTGTAGCTGGGTTTTTTTCTGATCAGTCTTTACAGAATACTTGATTTAAATGTGCATGAATGGATACACATAGATGTGTACTTCTGTGGGGGTGGTAGAGTGTTAAAAAAATGAAGTTGTTTAATTTCTCTAGGGTTTTGTAACATTCTAAAAGCTCTTAATTCCACAGATACTACAAACTGGTCAGTGTATTCACTAGGTTGCATCAGAGGCATAAGGTACTGTAAAAATGCAACAATAATAAAACAATGCATTGACATTTACTTTTTACTTTTGATACTCAAGTACTTTTAAAAACAAGTACTTCTGTACTTTTACTTAAAGGGATAGTTCACCCAACAATGCAAATTCTGTCAGTAATTACTCTCCCTCATGTTGTTCCAACCCTATAAGACTTTCGTTCATCTTCGGAACACAAATTAAGATATTTTTGATTAAATCCGAGAGCTGGATCACTCCTCCATAGGCTTCTTAAGGGATCAAAACTGAACGGCCCAAAAGTTATGAAAGACATCGTTAAAATAGTCCGAGTGACTACAGTGGCTCAACCTTAAGTTTATCAAGCGACGAGAATACTTTTTGTGCGCAAAAAACAAACAAAAATAACGACTTTATTCAACTAATCATTTCCTTCTCTGTTCGGCCGTGATATTTCATGGGGTTCATCGACTATTTTAACTAGTGTTCCGAAATAATTCTTTAATTTGTGTTCCGAAGAGGAACAACATGAGGGTGAGTAATTGCTGACAGAATTTTCATTTTTGGGTGAACTACCCCCTTAAGTAAAAATCGGTCTTTACAACTTTTACTTGTAATGGAGGAATATTTGACCAGTAGTATCTGTACTTTCACTCAAGTATTTTGTCCACCTCTGGTTCCTTTATACCGAAAGCGATTCATTCAAACATTCCAACAGTCTGTTACCATGGCAGCAAACCAATACTTTTTTAGAAAACAAATGAACTGTTTCAAAACTGATTTATTAAAACAGCATTCGGCTCAGAAGAGCATCCTTGAACAGATTTCGACAGTCTAAAGGCACACAGATTTTTATCACTCACATATGGTAATGAGATACAAATGAGATATTGAGAAGTTACTGTAAGCAATATTCAACAGCACCAAACAGAACAGAAAAAATAAATAACACTCTCAAATTCTCCCCCTATCTGCCACTGTTCAGAAAACAAATAACCCTGCTAACATTTTGAAGAGGACCTACTGTATTATGCTTTTTTTTTAAAACATTTGTTAGTGTGTAATGTTGCTGTTTGAGCATGAAAAAGGTCGGCAAAGTCACTGCAAGCACCAAATCACTGCAAACAGAGTTGTTCTCTATATCAGTAAGCACTGTTTCTGAAACGCCTCGAATGTAGTCTTTTGGGTTTTTTTCTAGGAATGTACAAATCATAATATTCCTCATTTAAATAATTCCCAAACAAGGCGTAAGCAAAACAAAGGGGGCGTGGCCTGGTTGAGTTGTGTTAGTTGTTGTGTTAAAGCTTGCGGTTATGGTAAGGGGCGTGACATTTCCTAAACGCACTCAAAGCTTTTGACCAATCACAACACACTGGTCCAGCCGATCAATCAGAGCAGATTGTGCTTTTCAGAAAGAGGAGCTTCACAGAGACAGGGACTAAGCAGAGAGTGTGTCCTATATCGCCCCCTATGCCTTCATTCACTATTCCTACATTGGTCCAGTAATATTGTTAACTTGAAGGAGTGAATGAAACCAAGTGAGTGAATTCAGACACTGAGTGCGCCAGAAGGGCTGCCACTTTTGCATAGTTTGTGCTTGCTGTTTAATAATCATTTGATTAACTTCATTTGCCTGAAGCTCAGACTTAACAAACTGGCAGCTCTAGTAGTAAGATGAAAAGATTTAAATCTCAAACTCTGTCATGGAAACTATGTATAAGCCTTAATTAATCAATTTAACCCTCTGGGGACCAGAAACGCGCCCGCGCGTTTTGCCGTTTTTTTTTCACATAGCAGAAAAATAGACTTAAAATACTCTGTTGATTTTGATCGTACATATAAGTGTTATACATCAATCGATCCTGTTAATTGTCTATTATTTTTCTGTATACTCACAATAAAAACAAAGTTTTGTGCTTTTTGTCAAATAAAGAAAAATAAACATGATGCGAGTTTTGCCTTCTCTCTGTCAGTGCAGTCCATTCTGAAACACGTCCGAAAAATTAACTCTAACTCTGCAAATACTTGTCATACAGGCACGAGAGATTTTTCTTTATGAAGCTTGAATTCTCTTCTTTTCAATGATGTAATTTATATAAAAAACAAATATTCTCAGTTTATGTAATCTGTATGAAAAGAGAGTGCTGTCAGATTTTTTTTCCCCAGCTCATTACACTTCATTACGCGTTAATCTGACACGCCCATGGAGGACGCGCGCTATTCAAACGCAAATGTTGAGGCAAGCCATGACAATGCCCACATCAGCCGTTCCACCGCGGCGGTAAAATGTGGGGTGTATTTTCTGCCTTTTACCGCCAAGAGGCGCTACAATCATAGACTCTGAAAAGTGTTTGTTTATTCTCTCTAATGCGTAATCTGCTGCCGCACCGCACTGATTCAGAGCGATTGAAAGCTGGTAGCAGATGAATTCAACAAGTGAAACGTAGTTAAAATAATTCATAATCACAATACTGAAATTAGGCTACTGAAATGAAATTGAATAAATAATGAAAAAGTAAAACATTGCAATAAAAACATTTACAGACGTACAGACGATAGCTCAGTGGTTAACGCAACAACACGAGCTTCGAGGAGCTTCAATCGACTCGAGATCGAATCTCAATGTAGCATACATGTTGTTAACCGATGTTGGCCAACAGCGTTTATATTTAACCTTCTTGATGCTTAAATAGCTAACTGTTTATAACTGTTTACTTATTTAAAGTCAA